AATCTGAGGATACTGTAAGTGTGATGAGAAAAGAGCTGTGACCTTTTAAACCTTAAACCAATGAAATAAAAGCTCTTGTGAGACACGCTGAGGAATTTAATCACAGTCCGGTTCCTGCACAAACATTTCCTTTGTCTCTCTGAATAATTGACTTGTTTGGAGATCCTCGGTGAACGTGTTTCTTATGCAAGTGTTTGTATCGGTGCAAATCTGCTCGTCTCCACTGATTCTTTCTGCTTTACTTGCATAGCCTCAAATATGTCACTGTAAATCAACACAAGTTCCTGAGGAAAGGAGGCGTTGGGGGTAAAAGGCCTGTATGGTTTCCCTTTAACGAGGAAGGAAAGTCAAACACCTTTTACACACTTCATGCTTCAAACTAAAACTCTTCCACAGAAAATTTAGTCCGCATTTGCTTCTTTTTTAAGCTTGTTTCATGTATTTTCTTTTGTCAAACAGCCCAGTCACTGTTTAAATCACATTAGCCTGCACCTCTTCATAGATGAGGATGAGCAGTCAGTGTACGGACCCACAGTCACTGCACTCAGCCTTCAAGCTATACTGTGTGGACATTAAACAGAGACACTTTCACCAAAGACAGCAATCAGCAAAGCAAGCATTGCCACGAGCAGATTGAGCGTAGATAAGAAAGAGAGGAAATGATGGAGATGTTGATCTGCAACTGGCCGGTGACCAAAGATAAAAGGAGTATGTGTGTCTCTGAAGGAGTATGAGAGCACATGACACACAACGCTTTTGATCTGCTTTCCTTCAAGAGCGCCTGATGAGCCAGCGGCATTTACAAAATACAGCATGTTAATAACTCAACTCAATCGCTAAATATAGTATTTAAAATATTCAATTAACATTATCTATTAATATTATATCAATAAATTGTATTACAATTTATTTATATTTTATATTATATCATAAATGTTAGTGTATGTGTATGTGTATAGATAGATAGATAGATAGATTCAATAGAATTCTATAGATTAAGTTACTTTAAATAAAAGGATAAGTAAACAGATGCCATTATTTTAATTAGTTTTTAATAAATTAGTATTTACTTTATATAATTAGTATTTACATGTGTGTGTATTTTGTTAATAAAGTGATTATATTTTAATTTTACATATGAAGAGTTCAGATGCAAAAGCCTCTAAATGCCGTCTGAAATTTTCTTCTAAAATGAGCAAAAATGCTCATCAGGCCCCTATATTTACGTTCAGTTATTTCACCTTAATTGCATAGAAAAGGACCTATACATTGCCATTAGAGTAAAATTACTGAACCTAAACATAGGAGCCTGATAAAAATGCTCATTTTAGATGAAAATTTCAGATGGCACTTAGAGGCTTTTGCATCTGAACTCTTCATATATACACTAATGAAGTAAATATGAGTAGGGCCTAAATAATAATTATTAAATATTAATCAAAATTACTTAATAGTGAACCTACAGAATTTAATTAAATATATTAAAAGATACAAAGAAAATTCTTTATATTTACATACATATACACTATATTTTACACAATATATATTTAAAATATATAATATATTTACATGATAATATTTGAAATGTATATACAAATGTATATATACACGCATGCACACACACACATATATATACTGTATATATATACATATACACACACACACACACACACACACACACACACATACACATACATCTATATATTTAAAATATAATATAACAAATATTATCATATTATATGCAATTTTACAATATTATACACACTATAATTTCCTATCATAAATTTAGTATTTTTAAACAAATCACACTCAAAGTTTCACCTATACGTTTTTGCAAAAGTCAAATTAATTATTTATTTCCCTTATTTGCTACTAAATTGACTTTAATAATATTCTGAATAACGCCAACACCAAATTGTTTTTTCTTCCATATTAAAAAACTATTAAACCTCAATATTTTTTTAGAAATCTATATTTATTTTTTCACTGTCCTGTTTGAGCTGCAAAGCTGCATTACATCACGACGCCAAACAGCTGCTTCCCTCAAACTACATCATACCTATAGCAAACCTCAAATTATATAACATTTCAGCCTGATTGATCTTGACAGCATCACTTAATTGAAATAAATTGTATACTATTCCACGAAAACGGCAAACATCTCAGAGAAAGTAAATAATAAGATGTTTATAGTTTTAAAAAATCGCTCTCGCGGCTGAACTTTTAAAGAAACAAAACACCTGCTGAGTCTGACTGCATGCTGACAGGCGCAAACAAATGCAGAAAACATATTTAAAACAGCACGCACCTCTCACGCAGAGGAGAGACATGGCAACCGAAGTTTCTTCCTCTTGGTTAAATCCTGTCACTATAATAAGTTCTCAGCTGTCCGGTGACATGTCAAACGAAGTCACAAGTTAGTTCCTCGTCTGAGCGCACTACTGAGGAACTCTATCCCACAGCTGACACGGATGACCCAACGCCATGATCGAGCTGGATGTGCAGAAACTCACAGAATAAGAGGCGGAGCTGGCAGGGATTTAATGACGTCGGAATTGCCCCTGACCTAGGGGGCGGGCTTTGCTGGACTGTTGACCAATGGGCGAGCTAATGGGTGTGGCTTATGACTGTTAGGTGAAGGAACAGGTGTGACGCTGACCTGTTGAGAAAACTTGGATAAATACAGTCAAATCTATTCGTTCTCTATTTCTAAAGAAAATTGCCACCAAGTCTTGCTCTATTGCTTATTGGTGCAAATTTGTTAATCATCTTCAATGGGAAAGTGTTTGGTTATTACCTCACTGTTTTTTTTTTGTTACAAACAAGGTCAAAGAAATCTCTTTTAAAATAATACATAAATTCTTTCCTGTTAAATATTTTCTCTGTAGGTTTAAGAAGGATGTTGTGGTTAGTTGCTCTTTTTGCACCTGTAAACAGTCCCCCACATCTTCTGGCGTTGTAGTTATGTGAAAAAGTTATGGTATGATGTATGTTTATCAAAGAAAAGGCAATCTTTAATTTTAATTTGCATTTTGAAAATGTCGTTTTTGAATATTTTAACTATGATAATGTGAATAATGAAGCTTTTGTTATTAACCTGCTTATTTTAGTCAAGTTTCACATTCATAAGTGTAAGTTCTCTAACAAAAAAGCCCTTTAAAGAAAGGTTTATAACGAATTGGAAAACTGTGTTTGTACTATTCAACATAGTACAAATAGAAAGGCAATTAAAACTGTCCACTTGTGTTCTATTGTCAAAATCCTTGAGTGATATAAAGGTCCTGCATGTCTGTGATTGCACGTTCCTTTTTTCTCTCCTTCTTCTTCTTATATTTTCTTTCTTCTCTCCATTGTTCCCCTGGCTTCAGTTCTCTAACAAAAAAGCCCTTTAAAGAAAGGTTTATAACGAAGTGGAAAACTGTGTTTGTACTATTCAACATAGTACAAATAGAAAGGCAATTAAAACTGTCCACTTGTGTTCTATTGTCAAAATCCTTGAGTGATATAAAGGTCCTGCATGTCTGTGATTGCACGTTCCTTTTTTTCTCTCCTTCTTCTTCTTATATTTTCTTTCTTCTCTCCATTGTTCCCCTGGCTTCGTAATGTCTGTTATACTGTTTTGTTTTTGTCATTTAAACCATAATAAAAGAAAGTAAACTTGGATACATATTTTGGCATTGTTCAATTATATTTTGGTGTGAGATACAGAAATGTATCAATAAAACTATTCAGTATTCAAGACCTCTCCCAGTTTTATGAGAAAATTTACTTTTTGGCTTCTCTGAATATTCTAACGAGGATAAAACGTTATTTTATTTAATTAATTAATTCACATTTATAATTGCAGTTTTACATACAAACCCAACTTTATGGTTTTGTTGACTGATGTAATGCTGTGAATAGACCGTATTAGAGACTCTGGATGAAAAATATATATGAAGATTTTAAAAGTCTGTGAGCTCTTTAACTTTAAGACTGAAAGTTTGTGATTTAAAAAAAAAAAATCACTATTTGATATTTTTAAAATCTGATTGTACCCTCATTCTGATTGTATATGATTAACCCTGGCACTTTTTATTTATTTATTTCTGTAGTTGTTTACCTTTTTTGTTCTTTTTTCTGTTTTAGTTTTGTAAACATAATTGTAGCCTATGTTTATGCGATACTCCATCAGGTGGATGTATGGACAAAAAATTGAAAAACAAAGTCAAATACTAATAAAATGAATATTTACCCTCCTGTTGTGAAAATTAATTAACTTCTGAGATTTTGTCATATGAGACTTTGACACACATGTCAAACCAATTAAAATACATGAATTTTTGAAAGAATATTTCTTATTTTAACTTGCATTACAATGCATTATTTTGACAAATCTCCATTGTGACTGAAGAGCACTGACTGAACACAATTTGTTATTTCAATATTATTTTTATACTATTATATTATTATATAGTATACTATTTTTATTTATTAATATTTCAAAATAGATTTTTCTAATTAGATTTAGATATTTAGATTTTAATTTTATTCGCATTTTTTTCGTTTTTTATTTGCACTTTTGCAAATTTGCACTTTTGTCATTTTTATATTTTTTTATATTTCAATTTAGCTTTATTTTTTTTTCAATTTCAGTTTTAATAGTACTTCATTTGTAATTTTGTATACACGTTTCGTCAAATCGTTATATTTTATTTTATTCTAGCCTAATTTCAATTATGACAACTAATAGTTTTATAATATTTTTTAGGTAATAACAACACTGGACTTGAGCTGTCGATGTGAGCCCACTTTGCACATTCACCACAACAAACTATCATTTCTATTGACTTATGTAAAACTATTTGATGCAGTACTACAGAATTTATGAAAGTGTGGTACTTATAATTTGTGTAACAATGTTATCTTTTTGTTTGTAATATTTCACACCCGGTTTCAGTTACGGACGTTGGCACAACTCCGGAACCAAATAATAAAAGCATTTGTTTCCCTCTCAGACTCGGATGTTTGTCACTGACGCACGCTCGTGGTGTTGTAACGTGATTTCCGCAACTGTAACAGGGTCACGTTTGTAGCGCAAACTCGAGAAGAATTCGTTCAGTTGTCACATTCATCTTTTAGCGTCTGTTTGCATAAAGACTGAACATGCTCAGGACGGTGGTGTGTCGGGCAGGGAGCGGCCTTTTAAAGGTAACACACGTGTGCGATGTTGCTCTGAGGACTTCGCACTGCTTGACACTTCATTTAATTTAATAAAATTCACTTCGAAATCAAAGACATAGAAATGACTTTAGTCGCACGTTTACGTTAAAGATAATTTAAATAATAATTTATTAAATTAAAATCGCAATAATGTGATTTTTTTTTTGAGCACGTGATGATTGTAGCTATTTGTTTCATCAGGCTTCCATCCGACAGTCCTGTGTATGTAAACTTCAACCTTTGTTAAAAGCCTTAACGTTACATGAATGGTGACTTTGTGTAAACCTTTTTTTTTTGGTAGAGGTCAGAATTACTTTTTTTTGCCATTGCAGAGACACTGGAATTTATCTTGATTGACAGCACAAAAAAAGAAACAGTACAACAAGTTGTGCTAGTTTCTGGTACTACTACCAGAAACTAATACTTTAAGGGTGTTAAGGTCAAATCTGAAATCAAAATTGATCTAAAATGTTATTGTGAATGATTCATGCATTAACTTGCCTCACTTCTGAACTGAATTTCCATTTTTGCTGATGTCACCATGGTAATTTTGTTAACAAAAACTAGAATCATATAAAACATTTTTTTACTTTTATTACTTCAAATAAAATAAACATTAACTGAAATGATAAAATTGAAATTAATTGTTCAATAACAGTGAAAACTAAATCCATTTAATGCATTTAATTGCCAAATTACATTCAAAATGCAAATACAAAAACAATAAAATAAAAATCTAAATAAAAATACAAAAATCTATTTCACATTACTTTAAAAAAGGTAAACATTACAACCTAAAATGAAGGCATAAATCAAGAAATATAAAAATCTTTTTCACATTATTTTAAAAAAGGTAAACGAAGAGACCATACACAATTTTTAAACACATTTTTCTGCAACATGAAATTAGAGTTATTTGGAGAATAAACCCTCTTAAATGTCTCTGTACGTACTTGTGTGTGTGTGTGTACAACTTGTTTTTGAAACCTTCATATTCTGTGTACTGCTCCGTTCACAGCAGTGATAGAAATGAATCTGTTCCAATAAGTTTAAATTGATTTTTACATTTTATGGGCATTTTTACTTTTATAAAGCCTTTTTGTTTCCCTAAAAGTGTGCATCATCTTTTGAGTCAAAATTATATTTTGTTATTTTAAACATAAAACATTGAATACTGATATTTACAATTATTTTCAAAATGAAAAACAAAAGATACTTTAAATGTGAAATTAAAACCGCCAGTAGGTGGCAGCAAGTCACTGTTAATAAGTGAGTCATTTTGATTGAACCGAATCATTTAAACGGTTGATTCATTCTGGAACGAAACGGCCTCATGTTGCTCAGAGACGCAAAACGGTGCTGTGGCTGTGCTTAGAATTATTTTTGTTGGCGAAATAGCGCAAAAACAGGCAATATAGTGTCTAAAACGTAAGTCTCTTAATATTAACTTCTTGTTTACTTGAACTGTTGCATAAAATCAGTATCACATTTGTAGTCATGCTGATTTTTAGAGGTGAAAACTGGCACTCTTCGTGTGATATTGACTAACTTTCTTTCTGTGGTATTTTTATGCATAACTGTACGGGGTGTGTGTGTGTGTGTCACAGAGAGAGAATGAGACAGTCAACATAAATGGCGCTTAGTCTTTCAGAAAACATAGCTAACGTAGGGACGTCATAACTAACGTTAGCCACCATATTGATTTACGGTCTTAAATATTCCTGCGTCCCAATGTGCATACTATCCACCCTATCTGCCCTAAATAGTATTGAAAATGACTAATATCACATAGATTAAGAGTCGATTCCTCGCCTCTGAATAGCTCTAGAATCGGAGTCGACTCCAGCACTGGAATCGACTCTCGTTGTACGTCGACTCCGAAATCGCTGATGTCTTCACTGATTCTCAAATCCATAGTGAATGGCAGTTGAGTGCAGTATATCAGCAAAGAGTAAACGAAATTAAGCGAGGATCCGTTTGCAGTGCAGTCCGTATGCGGTGCAGAAGCAGAACGGGCTCATTGTGCTTTCACATGTTTGTAGTGCGCTATGATCTGCGGCTATTTACCACCATTAATTTGATTTCAAATCCGAACGTTACTAAAAAAAAATTTAAAGCAGTGAATATCTTTTTACACAGTAGCTAATACAGTCTTTCATAGACATACCAGCGCAATATAGGCTATTAAAATGACTTCTGTATAGGGTGACCATACGTCCTCTTTTTCCCGGGCATGTCCTCTTTTTGGACTTTAAAAAATTTCTAAATCGCCCAAAATGTCCTGGATTCGGGTTTTGCTTTCTACAGTCGCCATTAGTGTGTGTTTTTGTATTAGAGCCATGCGAGGACTGTGTCCATTCCCGCCTACTCTCGCAAACATTCTAATATTGCATATAATTTTCGCGCATCAGAGGGCCGCTATCAATATGTGGAGAATATAATCACTTTTGGATGAGCGCTCGCTGTTCACTTTCGAATTCGCGATCATGTGTGCTCTGTGTAAAGGAAGATCAGATATTTGTCAATGAGCTCAGGATCTGTTGAGCAGCAAATCCTCCAGCATGGTCTGTCAGCCATCTCTCCTCTCAACCCCTGATCAGTCAAATCTGACTCCTGCAGCTTGTGTTGGATGCAGGGTTGTCAAGTCCGCATTTTTTTTCAGATGGAATTGGGCTACTTTTAAACTGTTGCCATGGCTTGATTATTAAATAATATTATTTTAATTAGGGGTGTACTATATATCGACATATAATCGATATTGCATTATGGCTTAATGCAATAGTCATATCGTGAAGGCTGTGATTAAATTCAATAAAAATACCTATGCGCTGCAGTTTTCAATGTGTTCGAGTGCAGCGCTTCACTCTGAAACATGCAGTGCATTTATTTATTTGCTGGCAAACAAATATTTGAATTTGAGCAGAGATGCACCAATCTGTTTTTTTTTTCTTCTTCAGAGTCTGTAAACGGCGTTAGAGGCCA